CTGGGATGATGGGAATACACAACTCTGTTACATTTGATAGTGTGCACGACACACATATTTGACACATACAGTGGTGGATCCAACTGTCGGAGCGCCCCGCATAATTTAAAAGCTGTATTATACTCGATGCCCAGGTGGCGGATGGCAGAGCCGTGATGCTCCTCCAGCTCCGTGGCGCTAGAAATACTGACCGTGCCAGGCACAACCCGATACTTGCACCACCAAAGCTTGCACGCCTGGTGACTGACCTGGATACCCTTTGCAACGAGCGCCTGATGCAAATAATACGGGCTGCCGCAGTCAGCCAAGGGAGGCCGCGACAGCTCTGGGCCATACTGGTCGTCAAGGGCTTTCGCCGACAAAGCCATGACCCATCCAAGAACACAGGCGATACCTTGATCCGAGATGGCTACGGATGTGACAGTGATCAGTCGGAGGCTTCCTGGGGCCGCTTGGGGTCCTCTTGGGGTAGGGGGGAAGCCTCCTGGAGCCGCTTGGGGTCCTCTTGAGCTTTGGGGGGCTTCTTGGAAGCATCTTGGGGCCTCTTGGGGGCTTATTGGGTCCTCACGGCGGGCTCTTGGGGCCTCTTGAAGGCCTCCTGGGGCAACCTATGGCGCAACCAGTAGGGGGACGTTTTATTCTCGGCGGCCGAGGGCGCAACCTATGGCGCAACCAATAGGGGGCGTTTTATTCTCGGCGGCCGAGGGCGCAACCTATGGCGCAACCGCAAGGGATTATGGCCCCTGGCAGGCGCGCGAACCCCGTTGCAAGAGCGTGCGAAAGTAGCTCGCGCGAGCTCATGTAACATAAATGTTGGGAAACCATTGTTTTTTTTTAGGATTCGGACAGCGCGCGCGGGTGGAAATTTTGAAAAGTCGTGCAGCTGTTTTTCGAGGACCTACGGTGCGATTCGTGTGATTTTATGATGCGCGGTGCTAAAATTCTTAAGAACCCAATGGTTTTTGGAGATTTCGGCGTGCGCGCGCGAAGAAAAAACGAATGTGTCCCGCATGGTATTATTTGACAGGGATGATGGCCCTGGCAGGTGCGCAACCGTTGTCGCAGAAGTTCGAAAAAGTTGCTCGCAAAAGCCCGTTTGACAGAAATGTTTAAAAAGTGTTGGGTTTCCTACGAATCCGCAAGAGCGCGCGGGATGAGATTTTGACATTTTTTTGTTGAAAAACCATTGGTTTTTTGATGTTTTTATGTTGAAAATCGCTCCGAACACTAAGCTTTTGGAAGGATTTCGTCTTGCGCGCGCGAATGTCCACTTTACCTTATTTTTTGCAAGGGATTCTTGAAATTTGATTATATTAGAACAAGAAATGTCATTTTATAGTGTTTTTTGCAAGGGAAAGCGGGGGGGAACAAAACAACCGGATCTTGATCACATCGAATTACCTGAGGCTTCCTCACGAAAATGATGAAAATGTAGCTGCGGCCTAGGCGGCGCAGGGGGGCCGTGCACCAGGGGGCCCAACAATAATTATTCTTTAGAATTAATAATGTTCAACAACAACAACAACAACAACAACAACAACAACAACAACAATCATTTTACCCGAACGCTCAGTGTTCTCCCCAGTGCCAGGGTTTTCTTGCGACACCAGCCAATACCCCCACTTCGTGGGGGGGCCGTTCAAGCTCTACCAAATATCCAAACGACTCTTCGAGACCACCCACACCCAGCTTCCCGCCCTATGACGTTGGGACACTTCACTTCGTGGCGTGCGGACGACCCTGGCTACTACACTGGCGTGGGGTACACACCCACAGAGGTTGATCACATTTGTTACATATGATGTGGTACACGGTACACGTGAGATGGTACGCAGTGCCAAGATAGTTGGTCACATTTTTGGGGCAAATTCGTGGGGATGCGATTACAGAAGTACATGTGTTACACTGATGTTATACAGTCCCAAGCCATGATCCAAGAACACAGGCGATACCTTGATCCGAGATGGCTACGGATATGTGCGTCAGCAGTCGGGGGCCTTCCTGGGGCCGCTTGGGGTCCTCTTGGGGAAGGGGGGATGCCTCCTGGCGCGGTTTGGGGTCCACTTGAGAGCCTTTGGGGGGCTCCTTGGAACCATCTTGGGGCCTCTTGGGGGCTTATTGGACCCTCACGGCGGACTCTTGGGGCCTCTAGAACGCCTCCTGGGGCCATCTTGGGGGTCTCTTGGAGCCACCTTGGAGCCTCTCTGGAACCTCTTGGGGGCCTCTTGGAGTCCTCTTGAAGCCTCTTGGGACCATCTTGGGCGCCTCTTTGGGCCTCATGGACGCCTCTTGGGGCCATCTTGCGCGCCTGTTGGGGCCATCTTGGGTTTTAAAGATTCATCAAGAGACCGCGAATGGATTTCGAGATTTTTCGGATGAGAAAGTAGTGCGTTTTCATATGTTTTCTGAACATCGCATCTTGAAATTATTGAAAACCCATTGTGTTTGGCAGGATTTCGACATGCGCGCGCGGCGGCCGCGCGCATGTGCACTTCGTCTC